AGGAAGGTTTATCAGGAACCGGGGAGTGACAAGGCGAAAGTTTTGCAATGCAGGGCTTGGAAATGCATCTTGCAGCGAAGAGCTGCTGAAGGGGTTATTGCATCTTATTGAGGTGCTTTGCATGGGAGGTGTGGGGCAGACACAGCTCCCAAACCTGGATTTTTGCTGCCTGCCATAAGCAGAAGTAGGACAATGGGCTTGTCCCAACCCATCACACTCGTCCCAACCCACAGGTGGGACCTGAGCCCCACAGGTGGAAGGGCCAAAGTGTGAGACGAGGGCAGACCCCTAGGAAAGGAAACATTATCCCATATGCCCAGGGACAGGAGCTCAGCTGCTCAGTGGGATGGGACTAGGGCTGGGACCCACTGGCCTGTCCCAAAACCGAGCTGTAATTCCTGTTGGTGCTGGTGGTTTTATTTGGTTTATTGCCCTTAATCTCATTTCCAGACCAACCAGCCAAAAATTCAGCCCGGGAGCTGTTGGACTGGGCTGGTTTCATCCTTGGTGATTCAGTGCTGAGGTTTCATTGAGCCATTTTATATCCAGCACATGGACTGGACCCGTGCAGGGGCAGCCCCAGCCCACCCACAGCACTGCCATGACAGACACCATGTCCAGCATGGTCCTAAATAAACCACAGCAGCACTGAACCGACGCCAATTCCTCAGGATTGCTGTGTCAGTTGTGCTTCCTCTGCCTCCAAACATCAGGCTGGTCAGGAGATACATGAAATTGGGATGGTGGGACCAGTGATGGGCATGGGGTGATGCTGCAGCCTGGGACATGGGTGTCTTTAGGACGTCCCTGCTGGCTGCAGGGCTCTGAAACAGGGAGATTCACCCTTGATCTGACCTCTTGAGACACCACCAGCACGTCCAGCGATGGGCAGGTCCCTGCTGTCACCGCAGGTGCACAACCAGCCTGGCCAAAACTTTGATGCAACCTCATGGACTGTTCCCCATCCCTGACTGGGAGCGGTGCAGCCCCAGCCCCGCCGGGGGTTGGGAGTCCGACCCCAAAACCTGCCGGGCCGCGGGCTGTGGGAGCCCACAGGGTACAGCCCTCACTCCTTACTCACAGCCCTCACGTACCAAGCCGGTGACTAAAGCCGGGATCAAAGCGCCCAAATGAAGGAGCACAGTTTACATCCACCCTTTCTTTCCAGGCTGCTTTTAATTACGGCTGATCCTCCCGCCCACGGCTCCCCGAAGCCCCGGCATCCTGCGGGGCCACAATCCCCACCTGGCAGGTGGATGCCAGGTCCCAAGGCAGGGAGATATTTTTCTGGCAGCAGGATGTTGAGCTGGAAACCTCCCTGGCCAGGCGGCACGAGGGCTGTCAGGACACCTGAACTAGAAATGGCTGCTCCGGGGTTCCCTTCCTAACACTGCTCCCTCCCAAATTACACCAAGGAAGCACCACTCGGCAGTCACAGACAACATAATCCTGGAAGCTTGGGAGCTCGTCGGATTTTTAACATTTTTGTTTCAGAAAAGTAAAACCTGGCAAGTTTTACCTCCTGCCAGGCTGCCGAGTGGGATGGTGGCTTCCTACTTCCCACACGAGGCTGCTCCAAGGGGAACATCTGAATCACCCCGGCACAAGACCTGGAAAAGCATTTTCAGGGAAAGCAGGAGACCTGCACATCACCCACGAGCACCTGGGGGGTGGGGGGATCACAGCAGGGTCAGCAATCCCTGTCTGTACCCACAGGCATCACCCCGGCCCTCGCAGGAAAAAAGGTGATGGAGCTCTGGATTCCTGCAGCATCCTTCTCCAGGATGGTAAGGAATCCTGGAGGGGATGTGCCACCAGCATCTCTGTGACACAGAAGCGACCTGTGGCCAACTCCACAGCTGCTATAATTAGAGCTAAAAGGCAGATCAATACCCACGTACTGACACTGGAACAGTTCTGCTCTCACTGAAGCACCACTACAGAAACCACACTAAGATAAAGCTCCTCTAGAACAGTTTTTCAGCAGTTGCTGGAAAAAAAGGGTCAGTTCTGGGTGGTGAATGTGACTGTCAGCCAGTGAGCTTGGGGTCACAGAGCTAAAACCTCTAATGGAGAGCGACCACCTCTTTGCCCTGTACACAGCTCTGCCCACAGCACCCCTGGACTGAGCAAAGTTGTAACTGTGCAGGGCACCAGTCCCACTGAAAAGTCCCAAATGCTCTGGAAGGGCAGGTGGGAGGAGGGTGCATGGGGCAGCGCTGCCGCCACGACTCTTTATCAGCGGTGCCCAGTGGGACGATTGAAGGAGACGCGTCCAGAGGGAACCGGAATTGCTGGTTTTCTCGTGTTGCTCCCCAAACCCAACAAGCTCCATTTCCTACCCACCGTGACCCTGCTAGGCCTGGAATTCCCACCTGTCTTCACCAGCGCCCTCCTGGGCCAAACCAGCCCAGGGCCCAGGGAAGGGCCAGCAAAGCAAAGGGGCAAAGGGGAAAACACCTGCGATGAATGCACCGCCTGCCAAACCAGAGGGGTCAGAGGATGTGTGCAGAGGGCACTGCTATTTTTGCTGGGACAGCAGTGAGCCCGTCGCTCTGTCCATCCCTCTGCCCATCCCTGCCCACGCTGTTGGAATGATTCATTTCCCACCAGCCATATGCTGGCCCCATCGGTGCCTGAGCATCGCCCACCCTGCGGGGGCCACAGGGCTACGGATACTCCGGCCAAGGTAGACACGACAGGGCACAACCACGTTTGGGCTTTGTTTTAGCTCAGCCACCCCCGTGGGTTCACACACCCCCATCCCCGCGGGGAGACCCCAGAGCCGCGGGGGCCGAGGGGAATCCACCCGCGGTGCCAAACAGCCCCCGGTGTCGTTGCGGCCAGGACCGGGACCGGCAGGGATGCGGAGATGCCCAGTCCCGGGGCGGCGGGGGAGCCCCGGGATGCTGCGGAACCCCCAGCTCGGCCGACACCGTGAAACTTTCCCCGTGTGCTCCGGGCCGTGTTTACCTGCGATAAGGCCCGCGGGGCGCGGGGGGGACGCTCCGGCCGCCCAGGGCCCCGCTGCCCTCCGGGGCGGGGGCGCACGGCGGGGCCGGGCCCGGGGCCGGCGCGGGGGCCGCGGAGCCCACGCGGGACGGTCCCGCGGCCGCGGCGGGAGGAAGCGGCGGCGCAGGTGGGGGCGGGGGAGCGCCGGCACCGGGCACGGACAGACGGACGGGCGGACACGGGGCCGGACAGAGGGACGGCGGCCGCGCCGCCCCACCGGGGGGGACCCCCCGAGAACGGGGACCCGCGACCCCCATCCCATCCCACCCCATCCCATCGCATCGCCCGGGAAGCCCCCGCCTTCAGCGCGCCCCAAGGCAATGCCCCGCGAAACGGGCCAGGACCGGGACCAAGACTAGGACTAGGACTAGGACCGGGACCGTGCCCTCAGCCGGTCCCGGGGCCGCGCCACCCCCTTCCGCCGCCCTTGCCTGGCTCTTGTCGAACTGCTCCCGCTCCGCCTCCAGGCTGTGCCCGCCGCGGCGGTTCAGCACCCGCGCCGGCACGCTCTTGATGCTGTTCATGGCGGGGCTCCGGGGCTCGGCGCTGCGGGCTCCGCTCCCCGCGCCCGGTCCCGCTCTCCGGGCGGCAGCGACCGGCGCCGCCCCCCCCGCCCCTCCCGGCCGCGCACTGCGCCGAGCGCGGGGGCGCCCCCGGCGGCCGCGCCCGGAACTGCAGCCCCCCCGCGGGCAGGTGCGACCCGCGGCCCCGGGCGGGGACACGGCGGGACACGGGGAGGGGACACGGGAGGGGATACGGGGAGGGGACACGGGGAGGGGACGCGTCCCCACCGCCCCCGCGGGCACCGAGACGATTCCCCAGCTCAGGGAACACCACACACGGCGGGGACGGCCCCGCGCGACAATCCCCTCTCATCCCTATTAGCCATCTCCTCCCCTCGCCCAATACACCTGCACACACACACACACGGGGCACGTTAAGGACCCCGGAGCTCCATCGCCACCTTCTTCCCTTTAGGAAAGTCGCGAGCAGAGCGCGCATCCACCCTGCGGAAAGGCCGCGGCTGAACAGAAGCTTTGTTGTCTTTAATAATAATTCGGTCCGAGGATCCAATAGCAAAGGGCTCCCTGGAGTATTTGAGCTGCTTCCAGAAATAAGGCACCGGGTTTGAAGTGTTTCCATACGATTGTGGTAAATAATGCAGTTGGCTTGTAAGTCAGTCAGTGCTGAATAAATTAACCCCAACATTCCCCTTCTTTCCATTCCACAAAACCAGGGCAGCCCTGACACAGAATCCTAGAGCTCTGCAGATCCTTGTTGCACCACTTGAGCTCAGTTTTCTGTATTGATTTTAAAGCCATCAGTGGGGCATTTTAAACTCACAAGGAGTTCAAGCTCAGAATTCATCCAGTAAACTCAAACACATTTAAAACAGAGACCACAGCTCCTGCTTGGAAGTTGCACCAATTTCTCTGTAAAGCTGCTGGGCAGCTTCAGAGTGAGCAGCATGGTATTGTTATCACTGGCTTTTTAGGGGGAATTTTTGTCATAGCCACAGCAGGAGACTCTGAGTACGGAGCCTGGAAAGGTTCTGCACAGGTAGAGGAATAAATGCACTACAAAGGCTTGTGGAAACTGGCAAAGAGATGGAGCAGCTGAGCTTCCCTCAGTCAGCAGCTCTGATCAGAACTGGTCAACTAATTTTGGGGCAATTAGTACCTGAAAGAAAGGCTGTCATCGGGGTAATTAAAGAGAAAGCAGAAAACTACATGAAAGAGTTAACAAGGGGAGTCCATGGAGTGTTGTGTTTCACTGCAATTAATTGGTGGCAGTGGATGCAGCCAGAGACTCCCACCCTTGGCTGCCCCCACGCAGGAAAAACGCTGGCACAGCTCTGGGGACTTGCCACAGGTGTTCCCAACTGCTCCCAACCTGCACAGGACCGACCAGCCAGCTTGTGTCTGTGCTCAGGACCATCAGGAATTAAGTATTAAATATGTTGGACAGTGTGTTAAACAGGCAAAAAAGACACAGCAAAGTATCACCTTTATTATCTTATTTGATCTTTTAGTTAAAAAATAAGTTCAAACTGTGATAACAGAATGTGTCTTGCCCAATAGGCAAAGATAAAATCAGGTTAAATGCTAAAAAAAAAGGTCACATGATGCTTGGCTGCTGCTCTACAGTGCAAACAGAGCCCACACACACCTGATCCTATTAACTTTTGCTGGAAGAACCAGCTCCTGAGTGTGAAAAAGTTGTTCTGCCCATGTTGTGGGTGACAGCTCTCCCATTTCAATTCATTTCCCAGTTCCTGCTTACAACACTAATTGGGAACTTCCTATAAACATTATTCATCTCTCTGCACAAGGCAAGAAGTCCAGAACAAAAACAATATACTAACAACAGAAAGAAAAAGCATACTTGGCTGTGTCATACTCTATAAATATGTCTGAGCCACCATAAAAAATAAAAAGATAAAAAAAATACTTCCTATGTTGTAACAATTACACACTTCAGATTCTTAAAAAACAAGCTAGTGTTTAACCTGAGCTCTCAGCTATAAAAATAGCTTTGTTAATCTTGGCATAATTCTGTGTTTTATTTCAAGATAAAACACATTCCCACAGAGTCACATCTTTTCACCACTTGTGGGTCTTTCAGACACTCAGAGAATCATGTTTAAAAATGAGGTAACTTTCCATTGTAACTGCTGGGTTGATATTGAGTCCTCAGAATTACTTCTGTGTTAGAAACTTCTTAATCTACTACAGAAAATTAAAAGATTTTTATTCAAAAGCAGGAACGTTTCCTTTAAAATATATAAAATATATAAAGCAACCACATGTAAAAATACACACATTTTTACACTGCAAACAGAATAAGAACACAGAGCAAAAATATAAACAGGAGAAAGGTAAAAGCACTTTACAGAAAGGTACAGACTCAGGGGTACCAAAGGGGTGTTTGGGAATAAAAGTTTCCCAGTTTGCTTTGTGAAAAGGAGTGATCTTTGTGTCCCTGGCCAGTCCCTGAGTCACCATTTAGGAGCAGTGGCACATGCTATGTTGTCCAAAACTGAATATAGCCCTTTACTCACTGCTTTCCTCAGTTCTTCAATCTCCCTCTAAAGACAAAACAACTGACTGATGAGAATGGCTCAATCCCTGGCAGCCAGAGAGGAAATTACCCTGATGTTTGTCAGTGCACCTGCCCTCAAATGGTTTCAAAGCAATTTTAAACCCGAACAAACACAACCAAAATCAATTCGGTCACTTCTGTGTATGAAGCTGCACAAATGTTGTTATTTCTGGACCTGCTACCAACTCTGCTTCGGATTTATCCGATCACAGCCATTCAGTGCCTTTTAACACACAAAGAAAATGGGAACTGTGCATTAGGCAGTGACTTGCAGAGTCACTAACTCTTGTCCTGGATGTACAGTGGATTGTGGGTGCGTTTGTTCCACCGGCTCTTTCTCACTTGAAGCAAATGGGATTATTTCTGTAGGCTCAGCACACACTCCCCACTCTGCTGCCTCAGCACAGGGCTCAGCACTTTTGGGGATTTGCTCCTGAAACTTCTGAACATCAGTGTTTTCAGGATGCAACTCACAGTGTTGGCTTCAACCTATAAAACCTCCGGCTGCTTTTACCTCAGGGCTCTTTTTAGGAAAAGAGCAGCTCTGCACAGGAGCATTTCAGCATTCCAGCTACTCAGCATCCACCTCCTCCCAGTGCCCCATTAGCTGCACTCCACAGACACGATGGATTTGGGGAGAAGACTCAGTGTCTCCAGGCTTAATGCAGGAACAGCAGAACGTGAGGGTGCTACAAACCACCCCCACTCCCCCGGGCACAGAGGGTTTGGCTCCACAGGGGAGAAACAGCTCAGGGACTGTAGCTGGAATATCTGAGAGGGAACTGAGCACCGGTTCCCTGCTGGATCGAAGCTGATCTATATGAGAAACCCAGAAAGCCACAAAGCTTCACAACCCAGCTGGCTCTGATACCCTCCCTCTGCAGGCAGGAGCTTGGTTGTGTCAGCACTGGAAGATTTCTTTTTTTTGCCGGTTTTTCTCCTCATTGTTGCTGGTTCTTATTCAGTTTCAAGTGGTGTTCAGGATCTTAACCATATCTGGTTACTCTTTTGTCCTCAGAACCAGACAATGTGGTGCCTATTGCAAGCATCCAATCCACATCAGGGGAACAAATAATCAGAGAGTGAGAAATTTCCTGATTCCAAAAGAAAAAACAATCTGCTGTGGGCAAGGCTGCTTGGGATATTCTGAAACAGCTCTATTCAATACATTCTACTTTTGGGGCTGTGAGCCCTAGAACAATATTCTAAAACAGCCCTTGGCCTTGGCCCTGGAAAACACTTCCCAATCTCTCATTCAACAATGTTCACATCCTTGATCCTGTTATCTGTAACACACAGAAGGGCTTTAACTACAATAAGCAGCCTGCAGGTACTGGGGAATGGAGCTGCGAGATCTGACTGCCCAGAGGATGAGGAACACGCTTGAGGAAAGTTTAATTATTTGACTAAAGGAATTATTTGCTGCCTTAATATCTATTTGCTGTTACAGTACTCACAAGAGTTTTACTGGAAATGCACTTAGAATCCTGTGCCAGGCTCATCTCAGAAATCCATAATGCGTATTAATATTGCAGATGCATTTATAAAAAGAGAAGCAAACAAAGATCAAGTTGAAAACACCTTCATGCTCATGGAACATCATAGAGTTAAGAAGGAAGCTTAGCATCTCTTTCTTCTGCAGCAGATAACTGGCTTTTGTGCAGAGTTTCTGCAAGTTCTGTTGTCTATATTGTAATGCAAAAACCCTACCTGGAAATCAAAGGAGAACAGAAATTCCAGAGCTGCCAGGTTCAAGCTGGCATTCTCAATTCCCTCTTCTCCTCCCTCCCCCAAGCAGGGCACAGAATCCAACCCATACAAATTCTTACTGATTAAATTCTAAGGTATTTATTATGCTTTAAAGCTCAGTTTAAAACCGCCCCAGGTAAGCCTGGTTTTAAGCACAGATTAGTTGGCCTGCATAGATTAACTAAAACACGCTTGACGAGTTTTTACCCAGAACTGCTCTGAAAGTAGATCAAAGTTTCACAGATGTGGCTCAGGATCTGCTCCCCCAGTACCCACGAGCCTGCTTTATGTTCTATCCACTGAAGCCCCAGTTCTGAACGAGAAGCCAATTTCCAAGCTCAAAAATGCAGGCTCAGGTTCTAAAGCAGAGTCATGGGCAGCCGGAGTGGCCGAGCTGTGATGTGCCAACCAGTCAGCAGGAGCCAGACAGCTGATGGGGCTGGGCAGGAGCCACAAGCAAGCCCTGTGTTGTAGGGAGCTTTTCAGGAATCCTCCTACATGGATTTGCAAAAGACTAAACTGCTGCTGTCTTCCCTGCTGAATGAAATCCTGCAGAGGAGCTGCCGAACAAAATCTCCTTTCAGTTTATGCAAACGTTGGCACAACAACCTTTACACTCACTCACTCAGTCCCAGCACAGCGAAGGGTTTATGGCTCTGAATGTTATAAAAATTGCTTTGTCTGTTACTTACAGAAACGTTGTTCTGGTCAAGTTCATCTGAGGCTAAAAGGAGTCCAGCATTTTCAGAGGGAGGTGATGTGTGAGGAAAAAGCAGCCTGCTCTAAATCCAAGAGCCTAAATCCTCCCTTTGGGATGTATATCAGCACAAGTGGACTCATTTCTAGAGACAAATGGTACAACCTCCTTGTCAAACAGGGTAGAAATTCTTATGGATATTTATGAAAACAAGAAAGTGACTCCTTCTCCAATTATTCCTTCTATCCACATACCCAACAAGAACTCCCTATCAGTGCTCATGCTCATAAAATAAGCTGCCAGACAGCCACATATAGGGTTTTTTTTTTTTGACCACTGAGTATATGCTCTGACCCTGCAACGAAGGAACTAAAATTAACCCACAAACCCCCTAAATTTATTAAAGCTGCGTGTCTGGTTTAAATTCATACCCAAAACGATCCTATATATCACCTATTCCCTATACTGCCCTCCTTTCCATGAACAGAATAATAAGCAGTTCTGACTCTAAGCCTCTGGGGCAGCAGAGTGGTGAGTGTGCACTGAGCCTGAGAAATCATCTCAAGTGCTTCAAGTGAGAAAGAACCAGTGTTCATTTTTTTCTAGGCCTCCTACAGCTTGCCCCAAAATGACTTCTTCCTTCCATCTGTTTAGACACATGCAAAAGTCAAATCCTGTCATGACCTTGAGGATCCTCTAAAAGAATCCTATAAAAAATTCAAGTACTTGCAGCTAAGGCAGGCAGGAATTGTCTCTGTCTTATAAACAATATCCCCCTCGTGCTTTGCTAATGGAGTGCAAGTCAAGCATAAGGGATAGGATGTTCCCAATCAGTATTCCTGAGCACCTCAACCTATGGGAGAACAATCTATACTATATCCATGTGGCTGCTCTTTGGAATAAAGTGAGGGCTCTGGGGGAGAAGGCTGAGGTTCAGACGAGCAATCATCTGTCCAGACTCAGCCACAGCACGATGCAGCTTCATCAGCATGGAACTGGTGTCCTGGAGGAGACAGAAAGGGAGACAAAGTTACCAATATGGAATATTTCAAAGGGTTATAACACACCAAGAATCAGCATTTTAATCTTGAAATGTTTCAGTTCAAAGCACTGCAATGTAACAGGCCCTGTCTAACTGCTGGTGTTTCTAATAAAGACAGAGCTCTTTGCTAGTGTCAGTTTTGTAGCAGATTTTCACATGCATTTATACAGAGCACACACAGGAGCAGTACTTCAGGGATAAAGGGCAGAACAAAGAAAGACATGAGAAAGCAGGAAAACCAGGCAGAACAGGAAAGAAACAGTGTCCAACAGCTTCTGATAACTGTGTCCACATGTACTCAGATACTCAGTGGAATTACCTATTAGCCAGCATCCATTCTCCTAAAGTTTTTCATTCCAAAAGCTTATATATGTATTTCCAAAACTCATTTATACTTTTGCTGTCCAAGACATATTGAGACAACGAGGAGCTATTTTGAAAAAGTATTTTGTCACCTTTGCCTTAAGCCTGCTGTCTCATCATTTGAGTCCCTAGTTCTTCCACGCCAGGAGACATTTGCAGTCATAATTCCCCTTAAAATCAACCAAGGACATTCTGCAATAAGATACTGACTGTGTCCACGGCAGCACTGCAGCATCTGTTTGTTGGCTTAGTCACTGCCAGGTCACTGATGTGCAGAGGGGAGTCTTCACCAGTGAATTCCACAGATCTCTGAGATGTGTTGCTCTCCTGGGCGGTTGTCAAACGGGGAGAATCCAAGTGGTAGAAACTCACACCCGTGTTTTCTTCACTGTTAAAAAAGAAATTAAGACATTGGAAGAAACAGTATCACCATCCTTTTTGAACTTTCAAGGGAAAATCGTGGGACAACATAAATAACCGTGGGCCCTGAGCCAAGAAAACCATGGAGCATCAGGGATTACCCTGTTCCTCCGAGTGTTCCCGTGTTTAACAGCTTCCTTAGATCACTTTCATTCCCTGAGGACGTTGGTTTGACATTCAAACAGTTCCAATCAGCTACATGACCATGTGCTTGAGTGTGTATTTAACCTTGCACACAAAAGGCAGAGCTTGTTCCTCCCAATACTCTGCTACTCCTCTTCTCTCATACCCAAGTCCCTTTTTGGTTTTAATCAACCCTTAGGCAGATGAATATTTGTAGGTGTACCTTTCAAGGGAATTTCACAGTCTTTTACAGTCCTCATCTCTCCTCAGAGATCACAGGAAAGCTTTCCCAAAGAGGCTTTACTTTATTTGTTTTTAAATACAGGAGCAAACCATAATCATCACACTTCTGAACACAACAGAAGCACAGTCTGGATCAGTAAATAATTTAAAAGGATGTGTATTTTAGAAAAAATACTATATTTGAATTGATAACATTTAATTAAATATTCTTTAGATATTTTGGTGTAACAATGCATTCTATGCCTGTCAAGACTCTTACAAATAGGTGTATTTTTAAATGAAATTCAATCTGGGAAAAAGCCCTCATGAGAGTGGCCAGCTCACAAGTGTCTGCTGTGTCCCATTTCACTCCAGTAAAACACTGGGATACAACAGGCTCTCTTTTAAGAGAGAGAAGCTCATGTTTCTGTGCTTCTGACAAGGAAAGGTTCTGTGCAGACGTGAGGGAACAAGCTGCAGCAGCCTGGAACAGGGACGGGAGGGGATGTGATGGGCACAGCTGGTTTTGGAGAACACACAGGTTGTGAGGGATGGGGGAAACAGCTTTGATTTGGAGGCAGAGAGATGGCTCAGGAATAGGTGGCTTAGTCCAGACTGAACAACTAACTACCTGCTGATACTCCACCTTTAAAACAAGAATTGAGATAAAAATCCAAAGGCAGCAAATGTTGGTCCAACATAAATGAAGTCACCAAGTCAGAGCACACAGAAACCATTCCTGCACTCTGGGATTTCACAATCCCCCTTGCTGTTGGAGAAGGTATTTGATTTAAATAGCCTTCTTGTTGGCTGTTCCAGAATTCAGGAACTCATGTCAAAAATATTTGCTGGGCTGACAGGGAGGTGCCAGCACCCTTCCCTAACACAAACTACATCATCAGCACTACGAAACCAGCAGTGGAAAACTGGAGGATCCAGATTCAAGTCCCAGGAGGAATGCTGTGTTTGGTCTCTGCCATTAATCCCTCCTCAGAAGCAATACTCCTGCCTTCCTCCCATTTAGAGGGCGAGGATTTGTTCCCCGGTAAATCCAAGTCAGCAGAGGTTGGAGAGCAGACAGTCTGGGATTTGCACTGAGCCAATCCATCTCCAATTAGCAGGGCCCCAGGACCAAGTGTGGGCATCAAGAAAACCGGATAGCTCAGCAGCAAATCCCAAATGGGCAGCACAGCCCCCCCGCGCTGAGGGATCTCTGCTCTATATGCACTGTCTGGGTTGAGACTCTTCCTTTTCCCCTAAAATTCACTTAAGGGCAAGACAAATAGGACAAGACAAAAAGTGAAAGCAGTTTTCATTGTCCAGCCTCAGAAGGGATTTGGAGGGATGGCAGTGTGTCATTGGTGCTGCTGGGGGAATAGATAAGAAAGGTCAGGGTAGATGTAAGGGGAGTCCTTTGAATGATTTAGAGACAGTGGAAACCAGAGAGAGCCCACACCACACATGAGGCTCAGCTAAGCCCTGGGGGAATGTGCCAGGACAGCATTCTTTTTCAGTGGCTGCCCATTCACCTTGTTTCTGAACAGGTCTGTCTCACTGCAGCAGCGATTTCTATGATATTTCTGTTTTAAAAGCCACGCAGACTGAAAGCATCCATACATCAGATCTCCCTGTTCCATAACATTAATCTGGTTGGATGTAGGGCAGACTTGCTGGCAAACATTCACAGCAGGTTTAAACAGCTGTTCATTTACTGTACTTGTCAAACTACCAGCTGGAAAGATTCTCCTCTGGTTAAAAGGCAGCTACGAAATCTCTGTAAAACTTCAGAAATCCTTCTGAAATAGAGCTGGTAAATCATTTTTTTGAAAGGAGATAAAGGAACCAAGACAACAAATCCACAGCAAGCCCCAGCTCTGGATGCCTTTGCTTGTGCAAGCATAAAGCCACTCCTGTAAATGTGAAGCAGCATTTTTATCTTGGATACTTTCCCACACCACTGAGACACCTGAGTCTTTTTCCAACATTTCTGAGCATTAGAAACCTCCTTCTGCTAATCCCCCATGTGTCCTTTTCCTCCCCCAGCATAAACAGAGGGATAGAGTCCCATGAACTGGAGAGTGGACAGATTGCTGTCCTTTCAATCTTGCCATCTTGTTTCTTGCCCTGAGTGAGGCAGCAGCCTGTGCTCAGAGCCTGTCCTAGATTCGTGCCCAGCCATGGTGTGATTTCTCAACAGAAATAACACAGTCACCAAAGCATCACATAAAACCTGGATCTGTTCCTTGCCTCACAGAAACACCACTGCACAACTCTGGGCAGAACATATTTTACCCACCAGAGTAACAAGTAACATCGTAAGATTTTTAAAATCTGTGTTTTTCTCAATTAGTTTATATGGCAAGTTCTGTGGTGTTGCAGCTTCTCCTGCCCACGCAGCTCTTGAGGATAAGAGATGAGAAAACAATAAATGCATAAAAATAGAATCATGATACTTTAAGAGCTATTTTTATTTTAAATTCGCCGCTTTTCAAGTTGGTAGACTAATTTTAAAAAAACAGTTACTTTATAAACATCACTTGAGATACTATTGAGAGCTTATACACCCAAGCTTCTACATAACTACAGCTCATACCAATCTCTTAAATGTAAAAAGCTCATAACCTTTATGAGCTGGCACATTCCATCTATTGAGTAGAATCCAAACAGCTGCAATCTTTTCCACTGCATACGCTTCCATCTCTTTCTATGGGTTTGAAAATCTCCAGCCATTCCTGATCTGACACTGGCTTCCACCGGGCACTTCCACTTGTGCTGGAGTTACCAATGCAGGAGTCAGATTCAGACTTGCGAATCCCAGAAGACTCTCTCCTTTTTTGGCCAGACTGAATTCCAGGTCTCTCTTCCCAGGTTTTATTTTTCTTACCAGTTTTGTCAGACGTGGTGCCGTTCTGGATCAAAGTACTTTGCAAATCTACACGAGTTCTGATGTTACGCCAATGCTCATATGGAGGTATAGATGCCTCAAAGGTTTGCTGGTCTCTGCTTTCCACTCCCTTGTCACCAATTTCCCTGTTTCTCAATGGTCTTGTATTGTTTGCCTCACGAAATATTTCACTGTCTAGCTCATCAAAGCTTGATGCAACATCCTGCTTTTCTCCTTCTTCCGTGAGGACAGCCAAGCCTTTCACAACTTTTTGACACGGCTTTAAGAAGGCTGAGGTAGTTTCCTCCAAGTCTGATGCATTCAGTAACTGTCTATTATCTACTCCACACATCTCAAGGGTGGTTTTTACCCTACTTTCTGGAAATGGTGCAGTTCCCCACTCCTTGTACATCCTGTGGCTGCCCTCAGTCCTACCCATGTGTGTCTTGCTGTGGCTTTCAGAGGCAGAGAATGTCACCCCTGTGCTACAACGGCACGATAAAAACAAGTCAGAAACACTGCAGGTAAAGAGCACCCACCACTGCACTCCCAAAGCTCTACACTAACACGGGCTGCTGCCACAGCTCTGTGGGAGCTCAAATGCCAACAGGCAGATGTATCCTGCCAAAACCTGACAGAACTCTGCCCAGATTTGGCTGTTACTTTCCAAAATCAGTCTGAGATTTCCTCATGTTTTATACAGTGTGGTGATTCTATCTGAACCTCCAGGGTGTGCACCAATTCCCTAATTTAAAGTTTACTTCCTGAAATAAACTTCGCTTTTTAAACAAAAGCAGGAGCAAGCCAGATTAACACCCCTACCACCAGACTATTTCATTTTCTAAAAAATCATGAGCTGTCTGGCCTGACACAACACTTCAGTCTGTGACTGATGTTTATGGTGTCTCCTGACCAAATAAAAAACAAGGTATTTGAGAACTTCACTGGATGTTTGTGGTCAAGTCCAGCAAAGCCACCCTGACCCAGCACACACCTCTGGGAGGATGTGAGTTGTGTTTGAACAGTGAAGTCTCTCTCTCTGAGAACAAACTATTAAAAAAAAAAAAAAAAGATTACTTTACCTCCTTCTGCTTGCCATCTTTTCATGCTTTTGCCTTGAGGCCTGAGGGTTCTCTGAGTTGCCATAAGGGAATTGTAAGTCACTCTGTTTTGAAATGATCTGGTAAAGATAGGGATGGGCATTAGTGAAAGTCTGGGCTGCAGGAAAATCGCTTGTCTTCCAAAAAACACCCTCAAGTGTTTTTATAAACTAATACCCATAGCCAAACTATTGTCACAGACTTCCAAATCTGAGAGGACATCTTTGCATGTATTAGGAAAATAACATTTTGTGGCAATAAACAGGATTTCTATTAAAGAATTCAGTGCTCTTCTAAGATGGAACCACAAATACAATATCATTACCGTTACTTGATATTTAGTACATGTTGTTATTATGTTGTTCAATGTTATAGAACTGCAGGTGATCATGGGATTTGGCTTTCACTGCAGGGGATTTTTTGGTGAAACTAATGCAGAAGATAACATACCTACCAATTATTTGCAATTAAAAAAAATGGAACATGCCTTGAGAACCTCAAGTGAGAGCAGGTGAACACACAGGGTTTAAGTCTCTCTTGATCTGTCAGCAGACCATGTCCCTCAGGCTGCTGAGTTCACCTTGGGCAGGTGTGTACACCCCAGTCTTGCTGCCCTTCACGTGACTTCCCCAGCCTGGCACCACGGGCTGTGCGGTTTAACACCAAAAAATTAACATTGTACAGCTACCCCAGCATGGTAGAAACAGAAAATTTGATAGTTTTCCTTAATTAATAATTAATAATAGCCAGATCTAAGTTTTTTGCACTGTTCCAAGCAGGTCTGATGTTCCTGAAAATGCTTTTGTAACCTCAGAGCAGGAACACGATCAGGGCTGTACCTGTCGCAAACTGGATAACTCCTTTTCAATCCGCGCTTGTTTAGACTTGGCAAACAGATAAAGTTCATCTTTCCTCTCGGCTTTCTCCACTGTTTCAAAACACAGGTCATTGTTTAATTACTCACAGTGAGCAGACACAAAAGCAAGTGCTTTTGCTAATGCTGTGTAGCAGTAGAAGGTGGTACTGAACCAAACCAAAAGCATTTTCTTAAGATCAACAGGATCTGTTTCCCCTCCCAATTAAAAAGAGCACAAACCCATAAGACAACTAAACAATCAAGTATTTTCCTTCAACTTTTCCTCAGCATCTGGATTTATTTTACTAGCAGCAATAATGTGCTTCATTGACTGACTTATTTAACTTTCTCAGAAAGGAATGGGGGAAAGAGGGAAAAGAGGAGACATGAAAGACTCAAAAGTTTTCAGGAGAGACCACTCTGAGCCATTTATTCCTCCACGTGTAATCATTTTGGTGAACTGTGTTTTCACAAGATTCTATAAACTGTCCCTGTAGAAGCCCCAGATATTGCTTTGACACAAGAATGGCACACAAGGGATATTCCTTTATTAAACTGCAAGGAAGGTAGATAAGAAGCAGCCTCCTTCACACATATTAGCGAATTGCTGTCTAGGAGTCCCTGAGCTGTTGAAAGCTAAGGCATGAAAAGCCAACTGCCCACCCTTACCTGCCAGTGCCAGCTCACTCTTCAAGCAGCCATTTTCATGTTTCAGGTGAAGGATTTCTTCGTGCTGCTTGCTGTTCTCCTCCATCTTTTCAGAGAGGACATCTACAAAACAAAATGTGGTATTTCCCAGAATGAAAAGGAACCGTGCTGGTCTACACTAAATTAAGAACCCAGAATAAACATTTACCTTTCAGCTTATTTGTTTGAAGCATTAGCTCCTTGAGTGTCAGTCTGAGCTCTTTCTGTTCTCTGTTGAGACAGAAATCCTCTGACTTCACTGCACGCAATGCACTCTCCAGCTTTTTTAATTTGCACGTAAACTCATTAATGTGATCAGTTGTTTCAATTAAAGCATTGTCCTGAAACAGGAAACAGAATGTATTCTTAATTTTTATATTATGGATGGATTTTGACAAACCAACAATGTATCCTACTGCAGTAGTTACAGTGACTTCACAGATTTTCTTTTGAGCTCTTGAGGAACAAAAACCAAAATCAAAGCCTGGAAATGGGCTTGTTTATGAAAATAAACCAGTTTGTTGTTTGTTGACCACTTTTCCCTTCTCAAACAAGCCTAAGATTTAAACATGAGAGAGGCCAAGAGTGACAGAACCCCCGTGGTACAGTCACCAACAACTGCACTGCAGAGTGACCACATCCAGTGCCCATGAGAAGACAGATGTTACCTTCAGCCTAAGCATAGTGAGGAGCTCCTGTTCTCTTGCTTGTAGTTGGCCTGTTTTAACTGACAGCTCCAAAACTGAGCAGTGGAGATCCTGATTTTTCTCCTAGAGAACAGAAATAAGTGTCAGCTATTGCTTCAGTGATTCAAAGTCAGTATTTTTTCCAGCAAATGCATCCATGACGTTATTTAAACATTGTGAGTGGCAAATGTGGGATCCTGAGCAAGGTGGAGGAAAGAGGGCTGGAGTAAAAATTGTTCTCCACTTTGCTTGTGATCAAGGGTCTTAACACCCTGCACTTCTTAGTTCAATTAGACAGACAAAATGCTTGATAAAATACTGCTTGACTTCGTTGCATACAGAGGGAAAATTAGCCCAATCATACAATCATTGACAAATCACTTAAAAAAATTCTAGAACCCTTGAAGACCAATTACTTTCATATACTTAAACCAGTTTCAGAATGTTACAGTTCATCACAGTAATCAAGCTCTAAATAAAACCTGGAACTCCCTATTCAAGCACCCAGTACTGCTCTGGGGACAGCACTGCCTTCTGCAATCCCAGTGCCTGACAATTTTGGAGGCAAGTTGGTTCTGAGCAGGGCTCCCAAAAACTAAGCAGACAAACAGCAAACTCCAAACTGTAGCTTAGAAAAGTATTTCCCCTCACCCTCTTTTTTTACACAACAAATAAGACCTTTACTTTGATCTCACATTACTGTACTAAAAGACAAATGCAACTCAGGAGCCCTAATATGAATTATTTATTCACCAGTGAAATTCTCAAATGCCACTGGCATCCTGTACATGCACAGACTGCAAAACCAGAGCATTACTTGACCCCTACCTCCAGAGCCTGGCAGTGAACAGATGAATCTGTTACTTTTTGAGTCAGCTCTTTAAACTTCTGTTGTGTATTTTCAAGTGTTGCCTGACTGTCATTCTGCTGAGATTCTACGAACTTTAACCTTTTGGTCAGTGATTTTATAATTGCATTTTTGTTGTTCAGCTCACCTGAAAAGAAAGGAGACAAGGTTGTCTGTGAGAAAACAGCTCAGAGACCGTCATGCAATTTTTTAAATCTCAGAAAGATTTTTTTTTAAATCTCAGAAATAATTTAATCCAGTTGTTTTAAAATCGTGCGATTCAGAAATGAACAACTGCTCAGAGCTGCCAGGTGTTTCACTGGGTGGTTTGTGGGTGATGTCAGAGCTGTGCAGCATAACCTCAGGGCACAGGGCTCTGCAGCATACCAGCAAGTTGCAAATTGTTCTCTCTCCCCCACATTTATTTAATCAGATTATTTTTTAAAGAATTCACAGAAGCAATTTACACATTCAAACGAGAAAGAGCCTTCTGATTACCACACCCCCTCCCAGATCAGATCACTTCAGTACCATGGTGGAAGTCTAGGTCTCAGAAAGAGACAATGCAATTTAAAGGCCGAAAGGTAGGAAATGGTTCTTTACATGACGCAAAGCTCTTACTGAGGGGTCAAAGCACCTGAATATACTTAAAAGACCAAAATCTTATTCTTCATATTCGCAGCACTTACTGGTCAACAAGCTGCATCGTTCTGCTAAAGTCAGTATTTTGTGGCGATCACCTTCCCAGGCCTGGATGTGTCTCTGATGCACAGCAACCATGTCATTGAGCTCCCTGTCACGCTCTTTCAGTTCTGCAATTAAAAGCTGGAGTTCTTGTCTCTGTTTCTTAATGATGCTGTTCTCATGATCTGGGCTAAGTGCCTATAAAAGGTGAGATATGGAATGCATTTCAACACAAGCAAGCGACAAGTTCCCTGATAATAAACTCGAGCGTTTTATTTTAAGTTGAAATACGTTTATATTATAAATAGAAACCATTCCAAAAAGTTCCTCACGGTCGTGGCCCTTGGCTTGAAACCCTCCGCAGTACAAAGTGGTACCACCTGTGGTCCATGACTCAAGCCGTCGGCAGCACAGTGAGTAATTTCCTGCCAAAAATAGAGCGGATTGTTAACGGCACTTTCATATTTTACCTGGGACGAAGAAGAGCGCAGCAGTGATGAACTCATGGGGGACCGGGGGCCAGAGCGCTGCCAGGCATTCGCGGACACCGGGACCTGTTCGGGGCTGCCACGTCCACCATGGAGGCTCCTGAGCCCAGCACCCCTGAGGCTGCTCCGAACTCTGAGGGAGGACAAGCGCCGTTGAGCGCGGACCGAGGCGGGGGCGGCCCCGCGGCCTCGCCCGGGCCTGAGAGGGGCCCTGAGGTACCACCGCGCCGGGCGGGCCGGCCTCCCTCCCCGGGGCGGCCTGCGGGGCCCCCGCGCTGTCCCGCACGGCTGGGCCGGCCCTTCCCGACGCCGGGGGGTTCCCGTGCCCTCAGCCCCGCTCCCCCCGCCCGCTGCCCCCCGTTACCCCCCGCCGCCCCCGACCCACCGCCGCCGCACGCCGTTGGTGGAAGCTCCGCCCCGCGGGGCGGCGGGGCCGCAGGTTCGAGACCCGAGGCCGCAGGTTCGAGTCCCGGGGCCGCAGGTTCGAGACCTGGGGCCCCAGGTTCGAGACCCGGTGCCGCCGGTTAGAATCCCGGGGCCGCAGGTTCGAGTCCCGGGGCCCGCCCCGGGGCTGGGGCTGCTGGAAAAACGCGGTAATTAATAACGTTGTTAATAGGGTAAGGCTAAGAGTAAGAGCCTAGTGGGATGGTACAGGCTGGAGATGACTACCCTGCACATCTTGGGTCAAGACAAGTAGATAAAATGCAGAATACTGCTTGACTTTGTTGCATACACAGGAAAAATTAGCCCAATCATACAATCATTGACAAATCACTTGAAAAATTCTAGAACCCTTGAAGACCAATTCTTTTCAGATCCTTAAACCAGTTTCAGAATGTTACAGTTCATCACGGTAATCAAGCTCTAAATAAAACCTTCTGGAACTCCCTATCCAAGCACCCAGAACTGCTCTGGGGACAGCACTGCCTTCTGCAATCCCAGTGCCTGACATTTTTGGAGGCAAGCTGGTTCTGAGCAGGGCTCCCCAAAACTAAGCAGACAAACAGCAAACTCCAAATTTTAGCTTAGAAAAGAATTCTGAGTTGAATGGGACAACTACAGATAGTTCTCTGGAGGTACACCATTCCCTACTGCAGAGATAGTTATCTCTGGAGATACACCTTTCCCAACTAAACCAAAGGTTTATAAACAAAGATCACTGAAAAACAAAATTTATGGGTGGAGAACAGGGCGTGTGATACTTCAGCCCCTCCCTTTTCAACTTGCAGTGACAGGAGCACGTCACTTCCAGGCCTGTGACACCAGGGAGCATTTATTGTTATTAAATGGAGCAGTAAAATAAAAAGCACCAAATTGATGCTCGAGGCTGTTTGGGGGAGTACAGAGAGCAGAGTGTGCAGCTGGACCCTCCTCACCTGCTAACAGAGCCCCTGGAATATGCTCCCTATTAATTTGTGTTCATTACTACTATTTTTGAACCAGCAGCACACTAAAAGCATAAAGCCACAACAGTTGCCTCCCCTAGAAGCCCAGCAGGGTTAGGAGATGGTTTGGAATTACGAAAACAGGATGAACTTTCAAGTCATATTCACATATTCCTCAGTGTTTCCACTTACTAGAATAAATAATTCACTTGGCAGTGACTTACAACGGAACTGCCTGACCACTTCAGGACTCACTGTCCTTCAGTGTTAACAAACCTTAAGATTTGTTCCATTCTGATTTCTAAAATTCTCTGCAGGTAGGCCCAAGGTACAAGTGTCCGTGTATCAGCCACATGCCTTATTCAGTTAAGCTCAGCAGAAAGTACAGCAGATGAAAAACAAGCTTTCAATGACTTAAGCTCTTCTTTTCCTGTAAGATAGTTTGAGGAAAGTATATGTAAAAAATACCAGATACTGTACTCAGTGAGGAACAGTAATTTTATTTAAATCTACTTCATGCGTAAGCATGGTAGAACCCCGATTTAACTTTGGCAAATATCACAACAAAAAGAAAAAAATAAACAAGCAGCCTATACAGAACAGTGAAAATGCCAAGGGTGTGGGTTCTCCACAGTTTCACTGCAGAGCAAATGGATTTAGAAGCCTCACTTTGGCTATATCATTTATAACCATTTAATTAAATAAAGGTAGTCTTTCACTTCTTGACTTCTCCAAGGTCTTCGATGCTGTCATCATCCACCTAGGGAAAAAAGCAAAACACAGCAAAGTAAATGTATTTTCTTCTTACATGTCTCATTTAATATTCACTCCTGTAAATGTAATGAAGTGTGGGAGAAGTAAACAGCACCATCCCAGATTCCCTGCTGTAAATTCTGTGTGAGTGACATGTGCTCATAGGACACAGCTGAGCCTAACAGAGCTCAGAATAAAGACAGGCCTATGGAGTTATTTCAGAAAGAATTCCACTTGGGAAATACCAGGACAAGGGAGAGTCAGAGAAAGCATTTGCAATTACAGCTCTCAACCATCAATTTTGGTCCAATCCCAAATTAGCTTCTTTTCTGAAGCACAAGTGTGTAGGGTTTGGGTTTGTTTGTTTGTTTTAATTTTGCAATATTTTAAGAGGTGTTGAAAAATAGGATGGCAATGTAAGAATAGTCAGACATTCACTGTTAAGAAACGGTCACAAAGAAGCCACAGACATTCGACAGCTGGACTCATTCTGACATGCTTCCCTCACTTTAGGGTGGGAATGCAACAACTGCTCTTCTATTTTTGTGCAACAGTCTGTGCTGCCAAAGATGAAACCTTTTCTGAAATTGTCAGAAAGTCACAGGTTATTGTGGAAAAGTAGAGTCCTGACAGAAGGAAAGGTTTATTACCTCAGGCCACTTCTCCTGGATTACATCAATAATGTCATCTGTAAAATCCCCCTGAATGATGATTTCATCTTCTCCTGTTACTGAGGCACCGCAGGAAAATTTCTGAGCAAAGAACCTTTGTGCTTCCTTAAGATCGATTTCTGTTGAGGGGAAAATGGACAATTTAAGTACAGTCACTGACATTAAAGTATTTTCTCAGGTTCAAAGGCAAAATATTGCTTTAACTGTTGAAAAAGTGGTAGTTAACAGCTGAAGCCTTGCTATGGTTTCCATTGAGAGCAAAGTCTGTTGTTTGCACCCAAAACATCTGACTCTACAGATCCAGCAAATTCTTCAAAATAAAAATTGCTGAATGTCCCCTACATGTTCTGTTCATGGGGGCCTGTGCTGCACACGCTCACCAGAAAAGCACATGCAGAAATGTTTAAAAAACACCTCCACCTCTGAACATCTCCTATGGTTATTGAACAAGTTTTTCCACAGTGGTGTTATTTCCAGAAACATGTCCCAACACTTTTTGAGACTGGCTTCCAGCACAAGGGTACCCAGTTTAGACCAAGGTATTACTGATCCCTCAAGAAATCAGATGATACTCTCATAGAGGAAATATGGGACATGGCTTGTTAATCCAAAAAAGGTTAAAACTTACCTTTTTAACAGAGTTTGTGATCAATGTGTGAAGTAAGATGTTGTTACAAACACCAAGTGGTTATTTGCAGCTGAACCAAAGCTATGCAGGACAGCATTAAGCTGGCAATCATTTGACTGTCTTATTAGAAAGGCAGTTCAAGCTTTACTTAAACAGTCTCAAGAACAGGTGAATTTAATTGCCAATAACATATTTTCAGGTTTGATGGAAATAAGAGGGTTTTTTTAAATAAACATCTTCATAATTAAAGACAATAGACTAGTCTGAAGCCTAACAAGTGAAACCCTGTTTCAAAAAATCCATAGCCCTATTTGTTTGAAAAAACATGGAAATAAGGACTTAAATAATTTATCCCTGAGAGAAGTCAGTGTACCTCTGGAACTGCTAAAAGCACCTTGGGACTTTCACCTCACACAGACAGAAGCAGGTCACTCAGCAGAATATGATCAGAAGAAATATGATGAGGTTAAAGGCAGGTTAAAGTCAACTCACCAAACGTTGCCAGGCCACACACTCTTGTGACGTATTTTTTCTTTGCTCTGGGAATTTTAGCTATCGTGACTTTCTGTGGTACAGTCTTCTTTTTCTGTTTTATCTGACCTCTTCCACCTTTAAAAGAGAGCATAAAGTTACATGATTAGTTAAATGATGATATACTTCATCAAAGAAAAAAGCATATAAGGTCAGATTTAATCCCTATAAACAAAGAAACTGTTATCTCCCCAATTGCATTGGTAGCAAAAATGAATTTTGCATATTGTCTCAGGTTTATTATTATTTAAGAAAGATCCTCTGTCCCCAAAGCTCAGTATTATGAGAAATAATAATATATACATGTCAAATGTGCATTCCAGTATGGGCTGCACAGCAGAACCCCACTACAATTAGCAAAAAAGGGCTTTTCCCCACACTTTACTAATCACTGTGCTTGGTCTGCATTTAACTGCTCTTTCAGGAATTGTTCTTTGGTTTGTAGTCTGAGGAACAAACTGTTATTTTAATGCTTTTCATGAGTTTAACATCCCTAGGGTCTGTGTCCGAGGCAAAGCAACCTCCCCACGTTCATTTACCGCGGCCACGAGCCGGGTTACACAGCAGACTAAATTCTGGATATCCAAGCACACCCCAGACACTGATATATGAACCAGCAGCAAACACCACACCTCCGAAACGAGGCAAAACTGCACATGATTGAACATCATCTTTCCTCCTGTCTGTTCCTAGGCCAACCTGTGGGAACACTTCACATATTGGGCATTTATTAGTCTGAGCAAAGCCTGGAAAAGTTACATTCCGCTAATTAGGATTCTTCGAGGCAGATTAAGATCTCGGCTGACTTTGTGTACAGTCATCAAATTACTTCAGGGTAACCAAAGTTTGATGTTCCTGAGCCTTCCCAGGATGAAAACCTAAAGAATTTAGAACAAGCAAACTAACCCCTGTGACTCTTTTTTCTAACACACAGCACTTTCAATTCTACATTATTACAAACTGATATCTGATAATTTTAAAGACAGTAAATTTCGGTCTTAAAATTGCTTCAGCAAATTCCTGCAGTGTCTTTGTAAGTATAGGCTTGGTTTTCCTCATCCTCTCTCTTTGCATTCAATCTTAAACCATCATGCTTAACACCAGACTGTAAGTCTGCATGAAACTTTAGATATTACGAGAAAATCCCTAAATATTTTAAACACTCTTATTTCAGAACCAAAACCCAGACTGAAAACTAACCGTACCATCACACACAATAATTTAATGCTGAAAGAAAATGTTCTGAAATCTCTGGGAAAAGCATCCAAGCTACAGAACATAAATTACTGTTGTCACTAGACACTGCCTACTGGCAAGGCAAACAAAACCGGTTACCAAGACACAAAAATAAAACCTCTGCAGTGATGTGTGGCTTAAAATGTGAATCTAACTTGGTATTAACCATAATTTCTGAAGCACTAGACACAACTGGCACTGCACAGGCAAATATCTATTAATAACAATCCCAGCACTCTGATTTATGGTGGAAAGTATGTTAATTAATTAAACAGCAAAAACTGCAATGATAGAAGATAAAAGTGCGTTTAAGTAGTTTCATATAATTTTTTTACATTCCAAAGCTGAGTTTTGGAAATGTTTTTCATTAGTATTGCTGCAAAGAGACATAGCTCTTAGTGGAGACACAGGTAACAGATTTAAAAGCATAAAACCAAATCCTGTTACGTGAATACAGAGAGGGGGAAGGAACAAAGGCCAAAGCAGAGTCATGAGGCATTCATGGAGGAAAGCAGTCTTTGTTCTACTCTGCAAACAACCTACAAACTGCTGCTAAACAGGGCAGGAACGGGTATTCCAGGTATTCCGGGAGGAATGCCAGCTGATTTTAGTTGGGAAGAACTGCTCCCTGAATAAGTGTGATAGCCGTGACTGGAACAATGAGACACAGGATGCAGGTCCCCTTTCCCTGGCTATCCCTGTCCCTGCTCTCCAATGTTTCCATCAGCACAGATCACCACACCAACTGCTGCCACCAGGAGAAAGATATTCACTGTTTTCTGTGCAGTCACAGCACAGCTCACAACCAAAATCCGAGGAATTTGTGCCCTGGTCCAGACCAGCAGGTGAGAAAGGGATGCCCCAAACTGCTTATAAATCAGTACCACAATCAACTATTTAGACCTTGCCTCTCTTTTGCTTCTTCTTCTCTTCTTCTTCTCCTCCCACATTTCCTTGGCCTTCTCCAACCCCAGCTTCTTGTTTAGGTGAATTTTCTTAAATGCATCAGAAAGGAGTGAGGGGAAAAAGAACAAAATTAGTGATCAGACACTGACAGCCTTCCAGAAACAGGATGGTACAATGATATTTTGCTAAATCAGTAAACTCTGCTGAAATGCAGCAGCCCCTTGACTGATGCGTGTTACATCTTCATTACAGTACTTATGCAAATTAAATAAATGCTAATGTTAATACTGAAATTCCAAATGCTACTGAACAAGTTCCCCATCATTAATGACCTTTCCTCCAGCCATTCACAGCAGCCTGGACAGATGCAAAATCCAATGAACAAGCACACGGGTGACTGGTTACAGCTGAAACCTTAAGAAAGCTCAAATATTATTACTGAAACTACACGTTGATTATTTAGTGTTTTCTGACATTATCAAACATATTTCACAGCATCCAAAAGCATGATAGACTCCTAAGAAAAGTATTAACTTCCACACGATACAGCAGGAAAAGGGAAGAGATGAGCTCAAAGATTTCTGAATATGTCAGAGGGCACGTATCAGTTGGAAAACACACAAGATTCTTACCTACTGTAAGTTTTGCAAACTCATCTGGAAAATTCTTTTCTAACCATTGTCTGCATTTAGTCACATCAGGCATGTATTCACAGTACTAGAGAAAAATCACATGTATGTTGTTAGTGGAGGCAAGACAAAATACATCACAAATACACCAAAATATATTTGCTATTCAGCTCAGCCATTTCTCCTTAAGATGACTGAATACAAATATTAGCACATAAGAAAACTCATGTTATCCTAATGATGACAGTGGCTGGAGCACAATTAAGACAAGACAGAGAATATCAGGAAGAATCATCATAGTCAGGAATCACAGGACAGAAGGAAAAAATTCAGACAAAAAAATAATTAACTCACCTCTGTTGGCAACGAACAGACTGGAGAAAGAAGAGGAGAAAAAAAAAATCACATTACAAAAAGAAGTTCTCCACTTACAACCTTAGTGTTAAATTCCAAAGCAAAGAATCAGAGAATATTCTGAGTTGGAAGAACCCACAAGGATCATCGAGTCCAACTCTTAGCCCTGCTTACATCAGAACTTCTGGTTATAATCCCATACTGGCTCAAAACTATTACTGTATTGATGCCATTCCACATTTTAATTCCTCTCTTGTTAGACCTGTGCTCACATGTTCTGTATTAGGATAAAACCACCACAGCAAGAGTCAGTGAGGGAAGGAGATGCCTAAAGCTTTGGGATAAGTTACAGAAAGAAACAATAGTTTTACCTGAGGCAAAAGATACACCCAATAAAATACCACATGGTTTGGTCACCTTTCCTTTTTCCAAGAGCTGCCAAAGTCCCAAAGAGGGACTTGGCCCCACAACCACCCAAACCAACATGCAGATTTTCACACACAACAGGGACTATTTCCTAATCCCCTGCAACTGTATTCAAGCCCAAAGCAAAGTGACAAACCTACCTAAAAAAATACCTAAATTATTTACTTCCCTTTAAATTTCACCCACATAACTACAATGTAATGTAAAGAATAATTCTACACACAGTTCAATTAGTCCCATGTATTCCATTTTTCATTGTTACACTAAAGCTCAGAGGCCTTTTCTGTGCTTTACTGGCTTTCTGCAGGAAGAGATCGGAGCTCCCACTCCTTTCACACCCAGAGAGCTGTCAATCCTGTCTCTCAGGGGGGAAGATCCCTACATTTCACCAAAAATGTTTGGGATAAAATACACAACAAAGCTGTTTCAGAAAGACAATCAGAAAGGTCAAGCTGACCAGGGTCCAGCTTCTCAATAAAATCTGAGCAAAAGAGACTCTCTCTTTCTCTCTGCCCTCACAAACAGCACACTGTAGGGATCATGGACAGCTGCCCTTCCAGCACTTGCCTCCGCAGTAGAGGACCCGGAGGGGGTAGTCGGCGTCTGACCTGGCACCGCTCCTCCCGTCCCCTCTGCAGTCAGGGACCACGGGCTCGGCGACATCCGTGGCCATGTCACACGCCTGGGGGTCACAGAACAGAAGAATCAGGACCCAGCTTCTGGGTTTGAGTTAGTCCCATCCCTCCCAGCTCAACAAGAATCCCAGAGACTGACGAATCCCAGAGAAAACAGGTACAGGCGTAAGAAGCGTAAGAGAGATCAGGGAGGAAAAAATAGGAGTCAAATAATAATGAAAATATATGGGGGAAATGACTACAAAAGATACCAAGCAGTATGGAATTCTAGCACATTACTGCCACAAAATGCAGTGTAAACGAAGGAGGGCCTTTAGGAAACCCACATGGAATTACAGAACGCTGGGTTAAGCACAATGTGAATAATCATGTCAATCAGTGACATATGAACAGCAGGGGCACTGGGGAGTAGGGGAGGGACCTCTCACATACTAGCAAAGAAAAGGGGTCATTTAAATCCGTGCCTGAAGAATTACAATCCGAGGACACTGGCAAAAAGCCTCAAACACTACAAAACAAGCAAACCAAACTCAGCCGGCTAATGGACTTAATGCTGGTTTGCACGCACAGGTTCTCAGCCAGGGGCTTAGAAAACAGGAGTGAAGAAGGAAAGAGTTAGGAATACACAAGAAATCCCCCAGGGCCATGGGAGCAAACAGGACGTGAGAGGGAGCCTTGGAGCCAGGACAAGCTGTGCTGGGCAGTGAGGAATGCTGAGGGAAAATGCCAGGGCTCCAGAGGGGGTGAGGTTTGGGGTAGGGGGACAAGGAGAGGCAGGAGATGGTCACAGCGAGGAAGGATCTTGGGGTACCCATGGAGACCCCAAATGGGGGAAGGAGAGTGCTGGGTGGTTATGGGGCAAAAGCGAGGGTAGGTCGGGAGGAAGGGTGATGGAAAACCAGACACAGTGGGGATCATGGACATGGTGGGATGGGGGACCAGAGCTGCGGGAATGGGGGGATAGAGCTGAGAGCATAGAGAGGATAGGGGGGATAGAACTGAGGGGATGGGGGGGTGGAGCTGACGGGATGGGGGGCAGAGCTGAGGGAATGGGAGGACAGAGCTGAGGGAATGGGAGGACAGAGCTGAGGGGATGGGGGGGGGGGGGCATAGCCGAGGAAATGGGACTCCGGGTACCTGAGGAGGGTCGGGCTCGCAGCGCGGGGCGGTGCCGGGGCTGAGGGAGAGGCGGGCGCCAGGTACCCGAGCGGGGAGGATGCTGCGGTACCAGCGCCGGGGGGGTCCCTGCGAGGGGCCCTCCGGAGAAGATGGAGCTGTGTGGGAGGCGCTGTGCGGGGGCTGAGCGGGGCGGGGGGCCCCGGGGGCGGCGGTGGCGGTACCGGAGGCCCCTCGGGCCGCGGCGGGTCCCGGTCCCTCACCCCGCGCGCACGTGCGCCCGCCCCAGCGCCGCCGTCTCGCGAGAGGGGCGGGTACGGTGTGGCCCCACCAGGCCGCCGTACCGGGGCGGGGGGGACCCGCCCGAGACACGTGCTCCGCCGAGCTACGGGACGCCGCAGCGGCCATTCCCCGCCGGTGCCGCCGGTGCCGCCGCCATGCCCCGGTACGCGCAGCTGGTGATGGGCCCGGCGGGCAGCGGGAAGGTGAGCGTGGAGCGGCGGGGGGACGGCGGGCGGGGGGAGGCCCCGGGCAGCCCCTGACGGGCGTGTGTGCCTTGCAGAGCACGTACTGCTCCACCATGGTGCAGCACTGCGAGGCGCTGGGCCGCGCCGTGCAGGTGGTGAACCTGGACCCGGCGGCCGAGCTGTTCAGCTACCCCGTGATGGCAGGTGAGCGCCGGGGGGGCCGTTACAAACTTCAAAATAGCGTCTGGTTCCTGTATCAGTGAATAATGCCCGGTCTTGTGCCCGATAATGCTCAGCACCCATGTCAGAGATTAATGTAGTTTGTAATAGTGCTGACTCCCCACATCGGTGACTGATGGGTCTTGTGCCAGGTAGTTCTTAATCCCTGTATTTACCTGGGCCAGTGATTAACATCTACCTGTATATGTCATAGTTTTGAGAACAAAGTGTGTCTAAACAAAGATGATAGGAAAAGTACATCTGGACCTGACCTCATAGTTGGGATACCTTGAAGGAGAACAGATTCATTAGCGGATCCGGGACCATGAAAGGAAAATTTGGGGAATGGGATGTTCCCCAAACGGCCACCAGGGACCCTCAAAAGACTCCCACTCATATCCAGCTCGGTCCGTGAAAGTATTTAGCATATACGTGTGTATTCAGGAAAGGTAATGAATATGTACTAGCTCATGAATAGAGATCCCCGTGCACCCAGTGCTGCAGTGAAGGAGTGTTGGCTCCCTGACCTCCCAGACTGTTTGGAGGGTTTATTCCCAGTGTTTGGTGTTGTCACAGACATCCGTGAGCTGATAGAGGTGGACGATGTGATGGAGGATGAATCCCTGAGGTTTGGCCCCAATGGAGGTTTGGTGTTCTGCATGGAGTACTTTGCCAACAACTTTAACTGGCTGGAGGAGAGCCTGGGGCACGTGGAGGATGATTATATATTGTTTGATTGTCCAGGTAAACGCACGTCAATGTTTTGGTATCGTTTCATATTTTATATCACAGTATAAAATTTGCAGTGCTTTGGTTTAGTTGGTTATGATAATTCATGTTTTTTTGCATTATTAACAATTGTCAGAGTCACTTCCAGGTGTTTCAGGAGTTACCTTGGTCCTGGGCTGCTCTGGGTGACTGCACTGGTGTTTGGTAACAACATGTGGTGTGGGGACACTGTGGCAACTGCAAATAACACTTAATTGGAGGTCAAGGGAGGGAAAATACCCCTTTTATTTCTTTTCCACTTCACCAGTCAGAGTTGCCTAAAAGAGGATGCTTTTCTTACCAGTTTTTATTTATATTAAGTGTAATTCCGTGTTTATATATAACTGCAAAATATTCCTGTTTGCTTCCCATTCCTACCCATTGATATCCTGAGTGTGCCCCAGGTCAGATCGAGCTCTACACGCACCTGCCAGTGATGAAACAGCTGGTGGAGCAGCTCCAGCAGTGGGAATTCCGTGTCTGTGGAGTCTTCCTTGTGGATTCTCAGTTTATGGTGGAATCGTTTAAGGTACCCATTTGAAAGCTGTTGGAAAAGTTCATACTGACAAAGAACAAAAAATCTGGGCCGTTCAGGGAGCTGGGTTTGCCTGGAGGAGAAAATGCTAAGCCCAGGGAGATTTCTCTTCATCTGCCTCAGACATGAGTTGCAGCAAAGGGTATCCCAGATGGATGTAAAGAAAACCAGCACTGGGAGAATGGTCAGACTGGAGCAGGCACAGAGGTTGTGCAGTGAACGTTCATGGAGTCAAAACTTGACTGGGCAGCCTGGCCTGACTTAGAAGCTGCTCTGTTTGAGCAGTTGGAGGATCCAGATAACCTCCAGAAGTTGCTTCCAATGTAAATTCTTGGAATCTCATGTGATTCCATGAGAGCTTTCTCAGAGCTGGAGAGTGAGCAGGCCACTTTCTCCATTTATCAGGAACAATCCCGAGAAGGGTTTGGGTTTTCTTAATGCCCTTTCCAGTGGCAGATCCAGATCCGAGGCTCCAAAAATAGGTGGGATACTTCCCACCTCCCTTTTCCAACAGGAAACTCCTCATATCCCAACTCCTCATATCGCTTTGTGTCCGTGTTCCATATATTCATTACTACATTTGGTCTGGGGTTGAGTGTCCTGCGTGCTGGGTTTGTGTTTTTCTGTACTTTAATACATCATTTTTCATTCTCTTTTCAGTTTATCTCTGGAATTCTGGCAGCACTCAGTGCAATGATATCTTTAGAGATTCCACAGATTAACATCATGACCAAAATGGATTTGCTGAGCAAGAAAGCCAAGAAGGAAATAGAAAAGTAAGTTCCAAAAAATTATTTACTCTGTAGTGTGATATATTGAGGCAAAGTTCGCTCAAAATTCAGTCTAATGTTTCTCACAATTTAAACATCCTCTTTTGGAATGGGACAAGATGGATTTGGTTTATATTAAACATAGTCTTTAAACAGCTGAATAGGATGCTTACAGAGTCAAAAGAACAGCTCCATGTTTGTACTGATCTCTGGATTTTTCTGTAAATAATCATCTTGCATCTCTTGTGTCATTCTAAGTGACAGACTTTGAGTGTTCATGATGACTTTGTTTCTCCCAGGTACTTAGATCCAGACATGTATTCTATGATTGAAGATTCTACAAATATATTGAAAAGCAAAAGGTTTAAGAAGCTGACTAAATCTATATGTGGATTGGTAGGTATATTGCTTTTGAACTGGTATCCTTAAATTCAATATCACTTTTTGCCTCTTTTAACTCAGCTCTTTATTTTTTCAGATTAGCATAAGATTCTTGATGCTATTGATACTATACTCTTGATGTTTGGATTGTAGCCAATACATTTTCTGTGAATCCTTTGGGAAATGGCTTTTTCTATCGTGTAGAACTCTCTGAGTGGGGAATTGCCACTGTTTTGCAGCGTGGCTTTGAGTGGTATTTTAGCAGTGCAGACAAGTGTGGTTTAAGGAGGTGGCTTAGAGTGCTGTGACTGAGAGTTACCTTACTGCATTTTCTTTTGGCTCCTCCCTCCAGATTGATGACTATGGAATGGTTCGATTTCTGCCTTTCGATCGCTCTGACGAGGAAAGTATCAACATCGTCCTGCAGCACATAGACTTCACCATCCAGTATGGAGAGGATCTGGAATTCAAAGAGCCAAAGGTAAGGTGCTTCTGGTGAGGAGATGAAAAAATTAAAAAGGATCCACAATATAAATGTGTACTTTGCCTTGCTGATAATTAATTTTCTCAGTATGGTTCAAAGCAGGCCATCTTTAGTCTGTTGGTGACAATGCCTGTATCATCTTCATTTACAGTTTAAAAAGTGGAATTCTTTAATAGCATCTTGCATATGCAGATTGATCAAAGGGTTGTGTTTAATGCTTTTGGTTTTCAAAATCAACAGAATTTTAACCTTCAAATGTCAGAAAGGACCACTGAGATCAGTGAGATTTTTTCCTGCCTGACTGCTCAAACTGCCATGATAATTCCTGTGTTCAACCCACGTGTTGTATATGAGATAGAGATTAGAAATAAATTCTATTGTGTAAAATACATCATAGAAGACTGTGTTAAAATCTGTTCCAAGCCCTCTCTAGTTTTATTATTCAGCTCATAAAACCTAAGGAACAAGTTTAGTGCTTTTATTCCCTTTTTAAATTCATTTTTTTACTCTTCTGTACTGCAGAATACTTGGATCTCAATTTTGACCTATATATAAAGTTTGTATTTTTCTGTTTTCTCTTTGGCAGGAATATGAAGAAGATAAATCTGCTCTTGTGGATGAATACTTTCAGGATCGTGTGGATGAGTAAAAAAAAATATGTTCAAAGTGGGAGGAAAATACTTTCTGGGGAAAAAAAAGTGAAAAAAAAATCCTGACCCCTATACAAACACACTTAATGTTTTATCTGTAAGATAACTAATATTTATAGTAAAGAGTGAGTTATATGACCTCAAAACTATTTTAATAAACAGTTTTTTATTCTTGTGTGTGTATGGGTTATAAAATATATAGGCCAGTGTTAGCACATATAAAAGTTCCCCTCATATAGATATATATTTCAGCATAGGAACGCTTGAAACAAATTAATGATTTGCCAGATAGGCAAAGCTGAGTCTAAATATGTTGTAACAAATATTTATCTCCAGCACTGAGTAGTTAGTTTCATTACTAGATGAGAGAAAGAATTGTTCTAAAGGGTGAAAGTTGTATTTCATGAACTGAACCTAAATTAGACAGAGATGACTGGCAACTTCAAAGGGGCAGCTGGTCAGGGGATGGGCTTCTTCTTTAAGAACTTGAGTGTTTTACATATATTTTTTTTGAAGATTCTAGATTTTAAGCCTTCTTAAAGCTGGTTTTTGTTCAACTTGCACATGACTTTAAGTGGTTTATTCATCGATAACATGTACACTGTAACACTTAAAGAAGGAAAATTACCTTAAACAGAACTCAGTGATGGCCTTGTGAAATGGATGTCATTTTGTAGGAGCAGCTTGGTCAGCAGATGTCTGAGTGCGAGGATTGCCCTTAATGGGAACCAAACCAAGGAGTGAATACTTGGAGACAACTGCACTTACCTAACCCTGGGGTGTGAGAGCAGCTTGGCAGAGTTGAGCTTTGTAGTTTCTTGCTTCTAGTCTGGAAGGTGTAATTTTTTTCTCATTCAGGAGTAGGGTTGTTCTTATGTCTGTTTGAATAAAAGGTTCACTATTGATATGGTGCTTATTTTTGAAGTAAAGATCTGCTTTTTCCAAGGCACAGCCAGAACTGGGAGAGAGGTTCAAAAGAGCAGGAAATCCTGCATGTTTAGTGGAAAAGGGCTCCCAAAAATCCCTGTGTGGCAGAACTTGATCTGACTGAATTAAACCACTCAAACATTGGGGCAACTTGGGTCACAACTCACCTCCAGACTGGCACATCCTTGGGACAAGTCACACTCGTGGTGTGTTGAAAGGGCAAAGCCCAGCCCTGCAGTTGGATTACTTTGACTCACCTTCCAACCTCCCCGTTTTTATTCCCTGACTCATGCCATGAATCATTTACCGGGGGCAAATTCAGCATGCTGGCTCATAGGGAAGGTTATGGCTTGATAGTAATAGGAGTGTGCACCAGAATATATTGTATCCCTCTGAACACAAAGTGTTTGGACCCGTTTTGTCCTTCCTTGCACCGGGGGAATTGAGTGCCCCGTGCAGCCGGCTGCCTGTGCACCAGGGCAGAGCAAGTGACCCTCAGGAGCTCTGGAAATTCGCAGGGGAGCAAACCAGCTACGAGTAAAGCATCCCCAATGTGCTCTTCTGATGCTGACCTCGCCGAGACTGGAGCTCACCTCTCAGATGTCAGCGTGGCTGGAAAAGGGTGGCACGGAGTGACCGAGGAGGGGTTACTTGCAGTGCTGGCCACAGCAAAGGCAGAGAGAGGAGGGAAACCCCAAAGGATGGAAAGAAGAAAAGAAGTCCCCATCAGAGCGGGCTTTCAAAGCCCCGTCCCAGTGTGGCCAGCGCCCTGGCAGAGCAGTGCCTCCCGCGATCCCTTCCTGGTGCGGTGCCCCAGGGCGGTGCAGGGCTCCGCTTCCGTGCTCGCACCGCCTCTGCCGCTGCCTCATTTCCTGCAGCAGAGGCGGAGGGAGCGCTGTGTTCCCTTTCTTGGACGTTCGCCCGCTCCCCTCCCGCTCGGCCCCGCCGAGCCGCCTCCTGCCCTTCGAGATGCCGGTGAGCGGCGGGTGCGACGGCGGGCCGGGGAAGGGGCTCTGCGGCGGGGTCGGACCGGGGGGAAAGAGGGGCTGCGGCTGAGGGGAGCCCTGCGGAGAGTGGGGAAAGGCTCGTAGGGGAGGCTGCTGCAAGGCCAGCGCCCTCTTTCTCTTCCTCTTCCTCCCTTTGGCAGGGATCCACCCGCAGCCGGGAGGGTGGGACCCGGCGCCAGCGGGGGAGAGGGTGGTCAGAGCAATACTTTGCTCTGCCTTTGTTTACACCACCTTTCCCTGGGTCGAATAAACTGCTTTTTACACCCACTCTCCCCCAGTCACATCTTCCTCTGCCCCCCACAAAACCTGGGCTGGGAGGAGGTGAAGGATTCCCAGTGGGATGGCACAGCACGGTGGGAACATTTGGAAAGTGCCCCAAAATAATCTTATCAGATTCTTCCTGGAAAATCGGTTTTCCAGGAAGAATCTGTTATATGCAGAAAGCTTTTTCTTTTTTTTTTTTACTTAAACCAGTTTTAGAGTGCACAGAAAGGCCTTTATTTTTGAGCGTGCTAAGCCTGGCTTTATTTATAATTATCTACTATTATTAGCTAGACATGGAAACAAGATAAATTATTTTTAAAAGACCAACTAATTTTCAGTGAACTACACGGGGCCCCCAGGATGGGGTCACGGAGCCGGGGGGATGAACTGTGCCTGCAGATCAGCCATATGGATTTTATCCTGTCTCCCACCACCATGACTGCAAGTGGTGCCAGTGATGATGCTCTCCTGGCATTGACCAGAATGGCACCGAGTTCTGGGCCTTATTAGAAAACAGTGTTTGTGCAAGGAAAAATTGCTGGGAGCATCATAATGAACTAGACTGTGAGTCCTGTTTGTGGAGACGCATGGGATGTGATTGGACACAGAAATGTCTATTTTCAGTAGAACCAATAACCAGCTTTCCCCCGTTCTAGGCTTACCACTCCACGTTAATGGACTCGGACACCAAGCTAGTTGGGAACATGGCACTGTTACCCATCAGAAGCCAGTTCAAGGGCCCAGCACCTCGGGAAAGTAAGTTTATAATAGTGTCTGAAAACCTGCCCGGATGTAGCTCCTCATCTCATGGGTTGCTCCAAGAGCAAGAGTGACAAGAGGAGTCAGTGGTGGGAAATGGAGAGGTTTGCAGTTTGTAGAGGAGGAAAGAAGTTCTCAAATAGTTAAGTTGTGCAGGTTGAGGTTTTTGGGGAGGATGTGATGGTGTGAACCCTCAGTGTCAGAGGAAGTGGGGGTTCAGCTACGGAGAGCTCGCTCTGGTCCGTGGCTGGGGACACTCGGCTGCTCCCAAGGCTGAGGAGTGGGACAGGCAGCACTTCAGGGTTGGGCACTGCAAAAATTGATCCTTTTATGCTCTTAAAACTTTGATGAGTTATGCAACTGGTAGAAAAATGAGGAACTGCTGAATTGCTGCAGTTTGTGAAGTGAGACAGCACAGAGGAAAGAGAATAAGGAAGTTAAAGCTCCTAATAAGAGTAGGAAGCTTAAATGTCACAGTCTGAGCTCCTCAGTGTTTGAAATGTTCTCTGTTACATAGTGCTGACTTCTGCTTTTTGAATTGCCTTTGCAATAATGCTTATTTATGTATTTCAGTGAGTAAAACTTATGACAAATGAGGTATAACAGTGCAATGTTTAACTCTGTATTTCTTTTTTGTTAGCTAAGGACACTGATATCATAGACGAAGCCATCTACTACTTCAAAGCTAATGTTTTCTTCAAAAATTATGAAATTAAGGTAATTTTTTTAATGTACTGTGCATATAGTAGTTCTTTGGAAGGTTGGTGCTGTGAATATAAATTTATTTTCAAGGAAATAATTCTATTAGATCACAAAATCTCTCCTTCCACTTAATCTTTAAAGTTGGGTAGATGTTGTGAATTGCAAGTCCTTCTCTCATGGGGAAACTAGGCCAAAATGGCTTGAACTCATTCCTGTTTCAGACTTTTATCAGTTCCACAAAGTGTCCCTTAATCTAAGAGTGCCTGGGCTCTGTGCTTGCTCTTGTGCAGAACGAGGCTGACAGAACACTGATCTACGTAACCCTTTACATTTCTGAGTGCCTGAAGAAGCTGCAAAAGGTAAGAAAAGTGAATTTCTGTGCAGGAGGGAAACAAAGTCCGTTCTGGGGATTGTACTCAGGAAAGGATTTCCTGATATTCTCCTCCCACTGGCACAGATAATCCTGTTCACCCCAGTCCTAGCTGTCAGAACCACAGATACTCCAAGGCTGTGGATATATTGTGCTGCTCTTCTTGATGAGTTTTTAAGTGTTACAGATTGGTAAAATATTTGGGTCTAATGCTCCCTCAGCTTTTGTTTATAACTGCTAATCCATTGTTTGCCTGGTTCTTCCAGTGTAACTCCAAAGGCCAAGGAGAGAAAGAAATGTACACACTAGGAATAACTAACTTCCCAATCCCTGGGGAGCCTGGCTTTCCGCTTAATGCCATTTACGCCAAACCTGCCAACAAGCAGGAGGAAGGTAAGGCTGATCCAGCACCTCTGAGGGCTTCCTTGGGCTCATACTTTATTAGCTGCATTTCTGTGACTGCAGTTAGAAAAATTACCAGTAAAACTGGATTTTCTAAATATGTGGTCTGTCTTCTGAGGGCACAAGCTGGATTTTCTGACCTCAAGGGCCCAGTGACTCCTCTGGATCCATGGATCCAACAGAACAAATTTATAGGGTCTAAGAATACCTTTTGCATCAGATAATCACTAGTTAAACCCTAATAATAGAGCCCAAGCCAGAATAGGAAGCCCACAATAATGAGCAAAGGTGACTGAGAGAAGAAAACAGTTTGGATGATCCTTTCTACTGGTAAAAATATCATAAAAATCCTAAATATTGCTGTAAATTGAGCAAACCAACTCAGCCAGCTGGCGAGCACCCGCAGATGTGAAGCTCTCTCCTGAAGCAGTGCTATCTGATGCCTCCCTGTTAAATCCCGTTTGACTTGGTGCTCCCCAGTTCACCCTGGTTTCCCTGTGCTGCTTTCAGAGGTGATGAGGGCCTACCTGCAGCAGCTGAGGCAAGAGACCGGCCTTCGCCTCTGTGAAAAAGTGTTTGATCCTCAAAGTGACAAGCCCAGCAAGGTGAGAGTTCAGAGGGACCATCGGGGAGCTCGTGAGGTTTGGGGGGTGTTTTCAGCAATGTTTGAATGGGGGTGAGGGTCAAGTGTGGCAACTTTGGCCAAGCCTCACTGGGTTTGCAGTGAAACGGCAGCTGCAAATTATCAATAAATTTAATCTAATGTGACATGACAGTGAATGCCAATTTGGGTGGCTTGAAAGGGCAGGGCAGTACTAAGGGGTGTCTGGTGCAACTCTTCAAAGTGCTGCATGTCTGCACTTGGCTGGGTTTGCAAATGGAAGTTCACAGGCACAAGAGATGCTGTTTCTCTTCCCAGGCAGCTCTGATCTGAGAGCTGCTTTGAAGTAGATCGTTTGGCCTCATATCCAGATTAAAACAAAAAAGCTAATCAATGAGTGAATTGCCTCCTGACTGTTCACGTTTCATGTGCAAATGTGACTGTGTCTAATATTGAAATTATTTAAGCTAATTTAGTTTCAAAGGCATAGCTTCCTGATGCATCTCTTGTTTATAATTATATTGGAAGAAAATATAATAAAACTAAAATAAGAGAAAGTAGAATCTCCCACTTTAACTCAAAGTCCTAAATTATTAATTCATTATGTCCATTCCTGTTGTTTTGTTCACCTAAATTCCAGTAGAAACCAGTGTGGAAAACTATGTGCAAAACTGGGGCCTTAACACTTTTTATGTGTCAGAGGTTGAATACTTTAAAGTCACTATTTTATCCATCACATGGAAAACACTTTAGCATATTTTCTGACTTTGTACTTCCTTTTGCAGTGGTGGATCTGCTTTGTGAAGAGGCAGTTCATGAACAAGAGTCTCTCAGGCCCTGGACAGTGAAGAGGCAAAGTGGCAACAACTTTAAGCGTTTCCACAGCAAGATGTTCACGTCTTTTGCCTTTGTTTTGGATGCATTTTGTACCAGGGAAGAATTAACTGCTTATGAAGCAAAAAGAAAAAAACAAACCTGTCAATGAGGGGTGGATGGGGGGGGAGAGCAAAAAGATAAGTTGTGTAAGCAAAAATTATTAAGCTGGTGCTTAATAAGTGATTTTCTACACCCTGTTTCAGATGCAGTCTGCTTTGTTATTGTGGCTACAGCACCTAAAACAGGACTGGTATTTAAGAGAAGAAACAGGTCTGCTGTGAGGCAAGGGAGCTCTGTCATTGCTCTGCTGGCTGGAGTCAGTGTCAGTGTCCAGGGCAAATAGACCTCTCATGCCGTGTTGTCCATGCAGTGATTTTTACATTGTATTCATTAAACTTCGCTTGTAATTAATGTGGTAACTACTGTGTGTCTCATGGACAATTTTCAGGGAAATCAGAGGTGGGTTTTTTGTGAAAGGACCTGCTCTGGTGAGCTCCCACCTGCAGAGCTGCCTCCAGCCCTGGGGTCCCAGCACTGGAAGGACATGGAGCTGTTGGAGCGAGTCCAGAGGAGGCACCAAGGTGATCAGAGGGCTGGAACAGCTCTGCTGTGAGGGAAGGCTGAGAGAATTGGGATTGTTCAGCCTGGAGAAGAGAGCTCTGTGGTGACCTGACTGTGGCTCTTCAGTACCTGAAGGGAACTTAGGAAAGATGGAGAGAGACTGTTTACAACGGCCTGGAGTAACAGGACAAGGGAGAATGGCTTCACGCTGACAGCAGGTTTAGATTGGATATTAGGAAAAAATCCTTCCCTGTGAGGGTGGGGAGGCCCTGGCACAGGTTGCCCAGAGAAGCTGTGGCTGCCCCATCCCTGCAAGTGTCCAAGGCCAGGCTGGATGGGGCTTGGAGCAAGCTGGGCTAGTGGGAGGTGTCCCTGCCCCTGGCAGGGGAGGTGGACGAAATGATCTTCAAGGTCCCTTCCAACCCAAACCATTCTGATTTTATGATTATTGAGTAACGTTAATCAGTAGAAAGTGAATAATTCCTACTGAAAACAGTGAGATTAATGCAGGGGCTGTAGTTCCAGCAATTTACCTGTTTATTTAGCAGGTTTGTCTTCACAGGGCTGTGCTCCACTGTACTGAAGCGCCTGCAAATGGTACTGCAGGCAGATCCCACATAGCTGGGTCTGTGGCCGCCTTTCTGGATTCAGACACACCCAAACTAGTAAAAAACGGCTGTTCTGTCAGTCAGATGGTTTCTGGAAGAACACAAATCCAAGTGTGGTTTGTTCAGTTTTTTTCCTTCATGGCAGCACTTGTCTCACTGTCACCACACAGCACCAGCACACTTTTAGTGTTACCTGAAGCCCAGTGCTGGTGATGTTTGCTGAGAGCTGTACTCCTCTCCAAACAGCAGTGATGGCAAGTCCAAACTAGAAGCTCCCACTGATTCCACTTTTAGGAATAGGATAGCCACGCTTCACATTCATTTTGTAATAAAGTGGGGAAAATAAACTTTATGATTTATCTGGCTGGCCTATGCCTTGTAGTTAACGGTGGTTCTAGTGAGGCGTTTGGCCCAGAAGTGGTGCAGGTTTTGAAGGACCTTTCTCCTTAGTTACCAATTTTTACAAGCAGGAGCTTCATTATCTCGGGGACCTCGGTCACATTTGGCTGCAGCAGCCAGAAGAGAGTACTCTCAGGACAAGGGGTGCACTCCGGAGCAGGGGAGGCACGGGGAGTGTGTTGCCTTCCATGGGAGACACAGAACCAAGCAGGTGCGAGGGGATCTCCTCAGACCCGGTGTGCGAACCCCTTTTCCCCTCACACACCCCATTCTCCCCTCACGCCGTTCCCGCTCCGCCTTCACCGGGAGGGGTCCTTGGCGCGGCGCGCGCTCCTCCCCGGGCTGCCCTCCCTCGCGCCTGTCGGGCCGCGCGGGCAGCGCCGCGGGCGCCCGCAGGCGGCGGCGCGCGAGGACCCCTCGGTGGCGCCATTTTGGAGTGGCGGCGGCGGCGGCTCCGTGCCCGGTGCCCTGCTCGGTGCTTCGCTCGGTTGTCCTCCCGTCCCTCCCGCTCCGCCGGCAGCATGAGCGTGGTGGAGCACGTGCGCGAGATGGCGGCCGCCGGGCTGCACTCGAACGTGCGGCTGCTCAGCGGGCTGCTCCTCACCATGAGCGGCAACAACCCGTGAGTGCCCCGCCGGCAGGGGGCGCTGAGGGGCTGAGGGGGCGGAGGGGGAGCGGGGGCAATTTGGGGGGTCCCGGTCCTGTCCCTGCACCCTGTCCCTGTCCTGTCCCTGCACCCTGTCCCTGTCCCTGCACCCTGTCCCTGTCCTGTCCCTGCACCCTGTCCCTGTCCCTGCACCCTGTCCCTGCACCCTGTCCTGTCCCCTGTCCCCGCACCCTGTCCCTTGTCCCTGCACCCTGTCCTGTCCCTGCACCCTGTCCCTGTCCCTGCACCCTGTCCTGTCCCCTGTCCCTGTCCTGTCCCTGCACCCTGTCCTGTCCTGTCCCTGCACCCTGTCCTGTCCTGTCCCCTGTCCCTGTCCCTGCACCCTGTCCTGTCCCCTGTCCCTGTCCTGTCCCTGCACCCTGTCCTGTCCCTACACCCTGTCCTGTCCCCGTCCCTGCACCCTGTCCCTGCACCCTGTTCCTGCACTCTGTCCTGTACTGTCCTGTCTCTGCACCCTTGTCCCTGTGCCTGCACCCTGTCCCTGTCGGGGATGGAGCCCGGCTCTGTTTGGGTACCAGCATCAGTGTCCCTTTGGGGTGTTCTGGCAGAGAATCCCAGAAAGGTTTGGGTTGGAAGGAACTTCGAAGATTATCTTGTTCCATTCCCCTGCCAGGGGCGGGGACACCTCCCACTAGCCCAGGTTGCTCCAAGTCCCGTCCAACCTGGCCTTGGACACTTGCAGGGATGGGGCAGCCACAGCTTCTCTGGGCAACCTGTGCCAGGGCCTCCCCACCCTCACAGGGAAGAATTTCTTCCTGATATCCAATCTAAACCTACTCTGTCAGTGTGAAGCCATTCCCCCTTGTCCTGTCACTCCAGGCCCTTGTAAATAGTCTCTCTCCATCTTTTGAGTAACAGAATCGATTTCCCCTTTCCAGGGGTGCCCTCTGTACTTCATGGCTCTACCCCTGAATCATTAGATCCCCTTTGTTTCTCAGCTGTCATTTTATTTTTAGACTGGGTTTTGAGGTACTGTTTGAAGCCCAAAACCGTAACTCTTCCAAAACCTCTGCAAACATACTGGGAGTGTTATAAAGGGGGTTTCTAAAATGTGGGAACACAGATTAGGACCCGAATAGTTGTGCAAGGAGCTGTGTTGCCTTTTAAACTTGCGTCCATTCAAACAAAACTCTAAAATTTGAGCGAGCAGAAATGCTGGATAATTAAAATGTCAGTAAAATAGTAATAATACTAATAAATAATCAAAGGTGAGTAAATCCTAAAAGAAAGTTGACCTAGTGTAATGGATATTGACAGCCTGTGGTTTGTTGTGGGAAGGATGGGGGCAGTGGCCAAGCAGCCAAACACTGAGCTGTTGTTGCTGATGAGGTGTCAGGAGTGGCTGTTACCTTTGTTTGTTCACAGATAAAAGAAATTGGTGAGATAATCCCTGTGTTTGGAATTAGTACCTGTTACTCAAGGGTCCTTCCAGGGTAGTAAAGAAGCAGCAACAGTTGGAAGTTGAAGCCAGACAAACCAAAGCTGCAGATACTTTGGATCTGTGAGGTTTTGGTTCTTAAGCAGCCAGCTGATCTCAGCCTTTCTGTTTGCATTTCTTTAGGGAACTGTTTTCACCATCTCAGAAGTACCAGCTCCTTGTTTATCACGCAGACTCTCTGTTCCATGACAAGGAATATAGGAATGCTGTCAGTAAGTACACGATGGCCTTGCAGCAGAAAAAAGCCTTAAGTAAAACTTCCAAAGTAAGACCTTCCACTGGGAATGCTACATCAACACCCCAAAGCCAGGTATTTAAAACTGATAATATGCTGTGTAAAGTGATCATGTTCCCCCTTACAATTAATGTTGCTGACTCAATATTCATAGAATTATTGAGATTGAAAAGATCCTTAAGATGGAGCCCAACCCTTATCCCAGCACTGCCGAGGTCACCACTAAACCATGTCCCTGAGCACGACCTTTACATGTCTTTTAAATACCTTAGGTTGTGGATTTACCATGTCAAATAAACCTGATACTTAAGGCTAATTAATTTAAAAACATCAAATGTTTTATTTTCTAACAGAAGACTTAAAATAGTCTTGAACATAAAATTTTCCTGTATGTGTAGCTCATGCTTTTCATTTGAAGACAGGAACAATATGAACTAGCAGTAAGTTGCATTGTTGACTTATTTGTGCTAGATAGTTTTCAACATAGTATAAATATTTAACGAGGAAACCCTATTAATTTTTTTACCTGATTAAACCAACATTGTATTTAAATCTTCCTTTTTTTGTTTCAGTGTTTACCATCAGAAATTGAAGTGAAATACAAAATGGCTGAATGTTACACAATGCTGAAGCAAGATAAAGATGCCATTGCCATTCTTGATGGGATTCCTTCCAGACAGAGGACCCCAAAGGTTAGTTCTTGCAAGTTTTTGTCACAGGTTCTTGGTCAGTGTATCTATAGGCCAGTGCCTCGTCAAAAAAGAATAAAACCTGTAGGTAAAATGCTGTTATGTCTTGGTATTTGCTTTTGTTGTGTGGTAACATTTCCTAATTTTAAATTAGCTTATTTGAACTCACTTCTTTAAAATCAGAGCAGTTTTGTATTCTCTCTGTTAGAAAGAATTCAAAAAAGGGAAGGGAGTTAAATGCTTTGTGCATCTTTGCCAACTCATTGCATAGGTGGAGCAATGTAAGATCCTTGGAAGGCTGGAGACTTTGGCAAGTAGAAGGTTTGCTAGTGCTCCATCTTTTAAAATCTTTTAATCCTTTTAAAGCACAGTTTAGATAATGTTAAATATTAGATCCCACTGTGGTCTGCAGTGCCAAATCTGTGGAGTCTTTGCTGGCTGGCTCTGTTAGTCGTAAGGGCTTAAAAGATTAACACATCAGGTCAGTCAACTGTGTTTCATGTTAAATTGTCCTAAAAGTGTACATGGCTTAGACTCCAGTCAGTGTCAGTGTTCTGTTCAAAGGCCAATTTACAGAACAGAGAAAGAAGAAAAGATTGAGAAAAACAAACTTTTTGCCTGCACAAACCAGTAAATGAAAGTGTTGTAGCAGAAACCAGCTACTGGTGTTGTGCAGAGCTCAGATAATTTCTGTTATATGATCAATCATGACTTCATTCAGAAGCTGAATGGAGACTTTCTCTGCCTTCCTAAGCTCATTCTTTCAAACACTTCGGAGGATACAGAGAGAACCACTGGAAGAGGCTGATGTAATGGATGCATCCTATCTAAACACTTGCCCATCTTTTGACTTCTCACATGTAAAACACAGATTTCAAGATGCTCTGAGCAAATACAAAAGAATGTAGATTTTGTCTCTGTACTCAGAGAGAAGCCACAATTTTAATCTTGTACTGTATGGTACATTACAGCGTTCTCAGAAGAGTGAGTAATTCTGTCTTCTGCCCAGAACAGAAGGCAGGCAGACTTGAGGACAGGGCTCTGACCTTTCTTAATTGTTCTTGCTCCTTTCTCACACTTGACTCTCCCAACATTTCTGTTGTTTGTAGATCAATATGATGTTGGCAAATCTCTACAAGAAGGCAGGTCAGGAGCGCTCCTCTGTGACGAGCTACAAAGAAGTGCTGAGGCAGTGCCCTCTGGCACTGGATGCCATCCTGGGTGGGTGTCTGCAGTGTTGAATAGTGCTATAATTTGAATTATACTTGGGACTAGGTGACTGTCTTGCGTTTGCATGTGGTATATAATGCCTATGTTATGCAAGTTTTAACAAGCTGCCTGTTTATGCTTGTCAAGGGATGCAGTTTCTGGTCCTCAGACAATTAATTTGTGTCAAAGGCAGTTTTTGGTGGCTGAGATTGATGTATGTACTGTCCTGAACAGGCTTGCTGTCGCTGTCAGTGAAAGGAGCAGAAGTGGCCTCCATGACCATCAACATAATCCAGAGCATTCCCAACTTGGACTGGCTTTCCGTGTGGATCAAGGCATACGCCTTTGTGCACACAGGAGATAACACAAGAGCAATAAACACCATTTGGTAAGAGAGGAAAGAGCATGATGCAATCACATAATATATTAATCATACATAATGCTATTGAAAGTGACATTTATAAATAATGGGCATTTGTCTCGCTTTAAGCTCTTTGGAGAAGAAGTCCTTGCTGAGGGATAACGTGGACTTGCTGGGGAGCTTAGCAGACCTGTACTTCAGAGCTGGAGATAATAAAAACTCTATCCTAAAATTTGAACAAGCACAAATGCTGGATCCTTACCTAATAAAAGGTGAGCAAATCCTAAAAGAAGGTTGACCTGATGAGTAACAGCCACATGCAGCTGGGTGTTGTATATTGTTTTACCAGTTCAGAACTGCCATTCAGAAGCTGCGTGTCTTGAACTGTTACTGGTAAATGCACAGTTTAAAGTAGGTGTTTGTGGGTTTGGTTCTGGTGGGTTTTCTTCCTGTTGTGAATGAACTTTCCATTTCTTGAGGGTTGATCTTCAGACATGTCTCTATAGGGATGGATGTGTATGGTTATTTATTGGCACGTGAAGGTCGGCTCGAGGATGTGGAGAACTTGGGCTGCCGCCTCTTCAATATTTCTGACCAGCATGCAGAACCCTGGGTGGTGTCCGGGTAAGCTGGTTTCTTTCTTTTCTTACCTTA